GCCATCAAACAGATGAAAAATAACAAAGCCTCAGGGCCTGATGGAATCCCAGCTGAGATGTATAAAGCAGGAGGACCTCTGCTTACCAGCCATCTCCACTTTCTCCTGGAGAATACAGTGATATCCCCGTTAGCCGAAACATTTGGTGCAGAGCACTTCCGGGAATGAGAGATTTCCGGGTGGTGAGACGACTCACTCACAGCCGGAAAAAATCCCTCATCCCCGGAATTTTATGGGTAACGGAAAAATTTCCTCGGAGGTTCCAGAAATTGCCCATTGCGTCATCTCTCGAACCAGGAAAAATATCCCTCATCCCCCGAATTTTACGGGTAACGGAAAATTTTCTCAGAATTTCCAGAAAATGCCCCTAATTGTCATCTCTCAAACCCGGAAAAAAAATCACCCCTGGAATTTTCCAGAATTTTCCGGGTATCGGGAAAATTTTCTTGGAATTTTCCGGAAAATGCGACCCTCAGAAAATCATTCCCAAAGCCGGAATTTTCCAGAAAATTCCGGCTTTGGGAACGATTTTCCGAGAAAATTTCAATTCTGGCTATCAGAGAGTTCTGGGTTTGAGAGGTTCCGGCAAATGGAGATAATACTGTACAGTGAACTTTCGCTTTATGTGGTTTCACTTTAAGCATTTCTACATTTACGCTGTACCCTGCCAGAACTGGAATTCCCAGAACCGGAATTCCCACTTTACGCGGTGCATCTACTCATATACGCGTGTGAAGTATAATTTTTTTATTTAGCTCATAAAATTCATACAAATTATCCGGCCAGAATATAATTTACATTGCTGGAATTCTTACAATTTGATGATCATTTTGAATATAAGCATCTTAGATTTTGCATTAGACATACAAAGTTTAGATCTAATGCAAGAATTTTGTTTACTCAGAGCAAATATGTTATCTTTTGTGCAAAATATATGAAGTGTATATTCAAAATATTCCTGGTCTTGCAAGGAATCCAGCAATGTCAATTATATTATCCTAACTTTAGTCTGAGGTATTATTTATTACTAAAAATGTAAATATACTGTTATAACCCAATCATTTCTCTGGTAGGGAGGGAAGGTGAGGGGTAGGGAGGGAGGGAGGGACCCAGGGAGCAGGTGGGAAGAGGGGGGGAGGTGGGGTATTTTGATTGACAGATAGTATTTCGGTAAGTATATTTTGTTTATTTATTGAAGATATTTGTTTTAGCTCATAAAATTCATACAAATTACCGGGCCAGAATATAATTTACATTGCTGGAATTCTTACAATTTGATGATCATTTTGAATATAAACATCATAGATTTTGCATTAGACATACAAATTTTAGATCTACTTTAAGTATTTTGTTTACTCTGAGTAAATATGTTATCTTTTGTGCAAAATATATGACATTTATATTCAAAATATTCCTGGTCTTACAAGGAATCCAGCAATGTCAATTATATTATCCTAACTTTAGTCTGAGGTATTATTTATTACTAAAAAGGTAAATATTCTGGTTTCTCCCACACATTTCTCTGGTAGGGAGGGTTGGTGGGGGTTGAGGGGGAGGGAGGAACCGACCGACCATCTGGCGAGGTTGGAAGAGGGGGGGAGGCAAGGTGGGGTACTTTGATTGACAGATAGTGTCGTGAAGAATATTTTTTTTTTTTTATTAACTGAAGATATTTGTTTTAGCTCATAAAATTCATACAAATTACCCGACCAGAATGTAATTTACATTGCTGGAATTCTTACAATTTGATGATCATTTTGAATATAAACATCATAGATTTTGTATTAGACATGCAAATTTTAGATCTACTTTATGTTGGTATATTGTTTACTGAGTAAATATGTTATCTTTTGTGCAAAATATATGACATTTATATTCAAAATATTCCTGGTCTTACAAGGAATCCAGCAATGTCAATTATATTATCCTAACTTTAGTTTGAGGTATTATTTATTACTATACCTTAAAATCTAGTGGTTTTCCCCCAAACATTTCTCAGAGAGGGAAGAGCCAGGAGTGTGAGAAGAGGGGGAGGGAGTTGAGTCCATTATTTGAATGGACATTAACTTGGCGACTGTATTTCTCTATTTCTCTTAAGCATTAATTGTGTGCATGTGCCATCATAAAATTAAGATGTTATTTTTACTAGAACATAGGTATTGTGTCGGAGAAAGTAGAGTTTGGGGGTCAGCCGGTCTCTGTTTCATTTAATCCCATATGTTGTGTTGTTCACTTTACGCATTTCTCGTTTCTCCCGGGCCTCCGTGGGTTCAATTGACCGCGTAAAGTGAGGGTTCACTGTATATGGGAAAAGGAGGAAATCCCCCATGCTCTTAAAGACGCCTCCATTGTCAACATTTATGAGAACAAGGGAGACCGGTCAGACTGTGGCAACTACCGCAGGATCTCGCTGTTGTCTGTAGCTGTCAAGATTATCCCCTGAGTCCTCTTAAACAAACTTCTTCCTGAGGCGGAAAACTTTCTCCCAGAATCTCAATGTGGCTTTAGACCATCACGTGGCACCACTGACATGATCGGTGCTGCCTGCCAGATACAGGAAAAGTGCAGAAAACAGCGTTGTGACCTGTACATGGCCTTCATCGACCTAACCAAGGCCTTCGACTCGGTCAACAGGGAAGCCCTCTGGTGGACCCTCAGCCGTTTTGGCTACCCACCAAACTTCATCGCCGTTGTGAAGCAACTCCATGATGGCATGAACGGCAGTGTCCTGCACAATGGCACCCAGTCTGAGCTCTTCCCCATCCAAACAGGGATAAAACAAGGATGTGTACTGGCACCAACTCTCTTTTCCATTTTCTTGGCTGCTTTCCTTACTTGTGCCAGTGCCAATTTAGCCGGCGTGGTAGACATCCGGTACCGGATGAAGGGTCTTTTTATCATAAGATGACTCCAGGCAGGAACAAAAGTGTCAGCAGCTCACCTCACCCTTGTCGCTTACACTGAACGCGACCTTCAGGAGATCCTGAACACCTACGCAATTGCTTATGCACATTTTGGCCTTGAGGTGAATGTACGTAAGACTAGGATTCTCTTTCAGCCTGCCCCTGGTTCAGCCACACCTTCACCATCCATTCAGCTTGACGGTACTACCCTCTCTAATGTTGCCCACTTTCAGTATTTCAGCTCCCACCTGTCCACCACTGCAGACATCGATGAAGAGATTGAACATCGGATCAGATGTGCATCTCATGCCTTTGGCTGACTCAGTACCATGTCTTTTGCTGTAGGGAGCTGAAATTATCAAACAAAGTTGCACGTATATCAAGCAGTGGTCCTCCCCACCCTGCTATATGGCAGCGAGACATGGGTCACATACAGGAGGCACCTCAAGGCACTTGAAAACTTTCACCAATGTAGTCTATGTTCCAATCTCCAAGTTCGGTGGGAAGACAAGAGAACAACTGCCAGTATTCTCACCGACACCAACTGTAGGAGCATCGAGGCTGCCATGTTAGCCGCATGGAAGACAGTAGACTGCCAAAGCAGCTACTTTACAGTCACCTAACAAATAGTAAACGTAACACTGGCGGGCAACTGAAAAGGTATAAGGATAATCATAGTTTTAAGACAAACTTGAAGAAGTACCAAATTGACCCCATCACCTGGGAGGTAATTACTCCACACTGTAGTGCTTAGAGGAGCACCACATGAGAAAGTGTCAATACTTTCGTGTTAGCCCGACAGCATACTGAGGCAGACAAGCGCCAACGCCGGATAGACGCTGCCACTGCCCCTCCCGCACTAGATGTAGCCCTCCACACATGCAACATCTGTGGACGACCCTGCCGGTCCCATATTTGCCTCTCTTGCCCCCTCAGAACTCACCAATGAAGGTGACATCCATAATAACTCATATCATTGTATCATAGCTGGATGATCGTCATACTTGATTCCAAGTGACAGCAAAGTATTAGTAGTAGTAGTAGTAGTACTGTAGTAACCTAGCTCTCGATGCTGCGCATAGGAGGAACGAGAACGACAAGAGAAGGGCATACGGGGAGAGAATACAAAATGTTGATCAAGGCAGCTTCACTCCTCTAGTGTTCACAACATCGGGTGGGATGGGCCCAAGTGCAAGATGTTTCTACGCCAGACTCGCGGAGCTGATCTCCGAACAGAAGCAGCAGCCCAGAAGTTATGTTACAGCCTGGATGAGATGTCGACTGTCCTTCTCTCTTCGGTCGGCTTTGCTCTGCCTCAGGGGAGCGAGCTTCCGCCCTACTCCGACAACTGCTGCAGATATTGACTATGAGGCTACAGTCACTGAATGCCGCATAGATCTGCGGCTCAACTAATTTAACACAGATAGGATAGCTTCTTATGTATTAGGATATTTAATATTAAGGTAAATAAATGGTGGCGAAGGTGTGGCTATTGTGGGAGGCTGGAGGCCACGTAGTACTGTAGTAGTAGTAGTAGTAGTGTGTGTATGTGTGTGTGTGTGTGTGTGTGTGTGTGTGTGTGTGTGTGTGAAGCAATGTTGTTGACAAGTTATTGAAATTCTTATATGGATCAGTTCAGGCTCAATTGATATGTGCAGTGTCGTATTATGTGTCAGTGGTCTCTGATAGAGTACATATACTGTACTAGCTCCTGTGATGTGCCATACTTTCTGAGAAGAGAAAGTACCATGCAGTAGGAACAAGATATTGTAAAATATTCTATAGATTATTACTTCTTGCAGGTAATTAGTTACCCTTAGATTTTATCACATTGCAAATATGAAAATGATAAATAAAATATATAGAGCACTGTGCATAGATTTATAATATCCACCACCTGTCAGGTTATTAGCTTATCTTTCACTATTCCATTAATATTTACGGTATTTTTTATTTGCGTCTACGATAAGCCAGCAAATCTGTAACAGTCACCACCTAAGATTTACAATACTGTACTGTACTTAAATCTGTACTTGTACCATAGTACTTTTCTATCTGAATTAGTACCTGAAATGTATATTTTATTTTTGGTAACAGGACTATGTGGGACGGACATGGGCATTCTCTGTGCTGGTGTTGGCGTGCCTGGGTGTGGTGGTGTCAATGTACGTGGCTGTGTATGTGGCGCTACGCGTGTGTGATGGAACTCTCACCGGGCCACAGGTTGGGTTCATCGTGTTTTCTTTAGTAATATCCTCCGGTTGACTGGACTGTTTTTGTAAAGTGTAGATATTATAGCAACAGTTAACAATTATGTAACAATGTACTTAATTTCTAGATCAAAGTAGAAAAAAACATTATTGTGAACATTCCATTTGCCACTTCATAACACTTTATTCTTTTCATCAGTTATCAGTGTCCTGGGAGGTAACATTTTATTTTAAGGCTCTAGAATAGCAGAATAATCAGTGCATTGTACAATACAGTATAGTACTGTATTCTGTTGTTGTAAAATCCATGTGATTTATTTTGCTTTGGAAATATATGAGAGAATATTAATACATATAGGATAGAATTATTTGTTAAATAAAGTAGAATATTCAGTTACTAGTTGGAAACATTATCTCTCCCTCCTTCAGCAATTTTGCCTATCATTATCTTGACACACATATACAGCCACACAAACAGCTACACACATATTATAACAGGTGTCATTTAGGTGCACAAAGTATGAAAACAAACGTGTTGTTATATCACCAGGTACTTGGTGCGGTGCTGCTGTTGGGTGTGATGGGGATTTATGCGTCGTGTGTGGTGTATGTTCTGCCGCCCAACCCCATCACATGTGCCATACGGGAGTGGGCACCACCCATGTGCCTGGCACTCTGCTATGGTATCCTCCTCGTAAAGTCCATGCACCTGCGAGCCCTGGTGTCAGTGGGAGTAGGGGGGGAAGTAAGTACAGTATAGTACCCTGCTCATTTGTTTATACGAGTATATACTGAATGTTTGAAAATAATGCCTACTGTAATATTTCATGTTAATCTGTGTTCCTATAATATTTCTCATGCATGCTAACTTGTGTTCCCCCATGTTCCATCATGTTTTCTAAATGTTTGTTATGTTCAGTTGTGTTCCCTAAATTTTTCTCATGTGCCCTGATGTTCTTCAAAATTTATTGGGCAACCCCTGGCATTCTTGCACACCTGAACAAGGCAAATCTGAATCTGCTCTTCTGTGATTCCTTGTGTACCTATAGTCTTTCTCATGTTCTCTGATGTTTTTCCAAGTCCCTTCATACTTTGCTGTGATCCCTTTCATTTCCCGTCATGTTCTAGTGTGCCCACAAGAAGTTTCCCAAATAAATCTAAAGTGCTAACTGGTGCATTTTAGGTGTCTCAAGTGAACCTCCACGTCTCCCTGTTGTTCATGTTGAGTGTGCAGGGAGCGCTCTGCGTGTTAGGCCATGCTGGTGGCTTGACTATCGGGGAGGAGCCGCTCGTGAAAATTGGCTCGGATGGTAACAGACAGTGTGGGCAGAAACGTATCGCCACCCTTGCTACCCGGGTCTACCTTATCCTGCTCTTGTTTCTGAGTCTCATCTTAGCCACTGTGAACCGCAAGATACAGAGAAATCATAATGAGGTAAAGCTTATGGGCTTTTTGTGTAGAATGTGACTTATTGTAATCATTGAATTTGTAATGTAATATAAATTGAATGACTACAGTATTTTTTAGACTCAAGTAGTGGTGTAGATGTACAGTATAGGTAGAATATTGTTATTTTCTATGGTTAGTCTTATTTATACAGTTTTTATATAGATTGGGATTTGTTTTAGTCACTGAATTCATAGTACTGTACAATATATTAAAAAAATATTTACTCTATTTTATGGTGAAGTAGAGCTGTAAATATACTGTATAAGTAGAGAGTTGTTATTTTTTTTTATTTGATTTTAATATCCATTGAATATAACATTGCAAAGCACAGAAAGTTATTTAAAAAAAAAATATAGTGTCCTTAAAATTTTCTGAGAATGTGTTTACAGTATAACATTTTTTAACAGGGAAGATGGCTACTGTTGACCTCGTGTGTGTCAGCTCCTGTGGTGGGTGTATGGTCGGTGATGAGCTACCTGGCACCTCCTACACTGGAAGCTCCTACAACCAGCGTGGCACTGTTGGTCCTCGCCTCAGTGGTGCTCGGACTCATCTTCATCCCTAAAATGAGGATAATCGCACAACAAGCTAAAGACTTCAGGTAGGGCACTTAAGACACTGCTGGTTGTGTTGAAGTATTTTATACTAATAGATAGATAAATAGATTTATACTAAAGGCAGGTAGGTATATACAGCCATAGTACTGTATAATAAGGAACTTGACTTACACAAAAGTAGTTAAATGCCACAAGTGAAACAACCTTATAAAAACGAATCAATACAGAAGATAAATAATTTAAAAATATCTCTCAATTGACCAACCTCATCCTCTTTTTTCTGAACACCAATATTTTTTAACATCATACACTTAAGTGTATGAAACATCTCCTGAATTCACATTCGGCCCCTGGGCATGAGGGGTCTCTGTGCTGAATAAAATCGTCTGGTATTAGCCAAATAAAATATTAAAAATGGCATCTGTTCTTGGAGAGGTTAATTACAATGATATTCCTGTATTCTGTAGGCACAAACGACTGGCAGCTGCAGCTTCGATCTCCACAATCTTTACACAGATGGATGAAGGTCCACTGGGTGGTGTGCCGCCCCTTCAAGACGGCCTTAAACCTCATCCAGGTGACAGCCCTCGGATTCACCACAATCACCCGGACAACCTCGGATCAGTACGATCATCCATTGCTTCTCAGAACAGTTACCGGGCTGCCTTTAATGCTGCTTATGGTATACCCCAACAGTCACCTTTGAACACTCCCAGACATGTTATGAGAAACCCCATTTATGATGCTTCACAAGGAGCTTATCCCTGAACAACTGTGCTGAACAAAAAATACGAATATTGCTCTATTTTCTAATATAAATGGATTTATCTTCAACTTGTTCTGTGTGAGTAATTATGAGGTTTTAGGGAAGTGAAAAATGTAAGAACAGTGCATGAGCCTTTTTTCTTTTTATGAGTGGAAAGAATGTTGAAGTTTGATCTTCCCAATGACTGGCTAGATGGCTTGTGTTGGTATCTGGGCATCATCTAGAATTAAAAGTACAGTACAGTATTACTACTGGACGGTGGGTCAAAGCTTTACTGGTGTATGGACTGTAAATATAATGTATGATTTTGATAATTTATGATTCAACCTTTAATTAGTACAGTATAATCACTTCTCATATTTTAATATTAATTGAAAATCTTTGTTAATGTGTACTCTTTTATTTTATTTTTGCGATGATGAAATGAATACTGTACATGTATGTGAACTATTTGCTTGAACCAAATGTACAGTAGTTTATTCCGACATTGTATTGTTTTGATGATGTTGCACAAGATAATTACTACACACATGTACAAAAAAATTTCAAGTGATTTATGATATTTTTGCAGAATTGAATACAGTACAGTATACATTAAGAAACTTTTATGCAGAATCCCAACCAAGTACAGTTCATGTATATATTTTTTACACCACATTGTAATTACTTAAAATAAGATGTGTTATGTATAAGGAGGATGCTTGTGCTATTAAGATGAGCAGATTATAATAACAAGGATTGAGAATTATTCAGCATAACAGTCATGACAAATCTCTGATTTAAACATAAAGAAGCAAGGAACAGCAGAATTTGAAATACATTTAGGGAAAAAGTCTTAAAAATTCTTGAGTTTTGTATTGTGACTTAAGTAATCCTCTTTGCCCCTGGTTGGTATACACTTGCCAGCCAGGGGTTCAGTCTCTTCTCTGTTATGTACTGTTGGCAAGTACTAGGATTGTACAGACTCTTGAATGTACAGTACCTAAACATGTACCAGTGTTGGCCAAGTCTGTTCTTAAATGAGCTCACACTCAGTGCTGTTACAGTACTCTGGCAGGTATCAAAAGGGTGTTCATTGTTCAGAGCCATTTAGTCTGTCATGTTAAGGCTCCACAGTCAGCAACATTCAGAACACCACCTCAATGGTGGGAACAAAATATTATAAATAGAGCCCTGTGTACACTTGCTCCAAAAGGTATCTTCACATTGGGGTCTGATGAATTTCAAAATGAACACCACGACTCCTGTTGTCTGAGTAGGGTTGTCAAAATCCTTCGTCTGTTGTGTCATATTGTCTCACACAAAATCGTAAGATAATTTTTGGAGCGACATGTGGAAGTGTACTAAGAACAGGAAAAACTTAGAGTTGTTTGTGAAGTACCATATTATAAAACCAGTGTGATGTGTCTGTAATGTTTCTACCACTAATCATTTTTTAGAATGTGTCAAATAATTTTATGGACACCTTGTATTATTGAAAGCTTTGAATAAGAAATTTGACTTAGGACTAATATGATAAAAGACACACTCTGGAACTAGTAATTGGATGGGAGCATATGCAGTAACATGTCAACTTCGTGTGTGTGTGTGTGGTAATGTCACTACATTACAGTGAGGTAACAGAGTGCCTGGACTGATTGAACAAGAATATTAATTATACTTGAGTAAAATTCTGGTTCTTCATCTGTAGAACAATCAAGGTTCATTCAGAAAAAAATTTATGAAATGCACATAAATCACAGATGTGTGTATGTGTGTGTGTGTGTGTGTGTGTGTAACATTTTAAACACATAACAAAAGAGTTTTGCACAAAAGGAGGTTGTAACTTATGGAAGAAATTAAAGTAGTGACATAAATAAAATCTATATTATCTATATGTAATTTTGTCTTGGTAAACATTAATGAAGATAATAGTGACTGGTGAAATACACTTTACATAGTTTGTGTCTTGATAACTTCGTATTTTATCTTTATCATTTAAATAGATTATATTTTGGTTTTAACTTAAGTGTTTACACTGTTTGGTTTTAAAATACAAAAGTTTTGGTTGGATTAACAAATTGATATGTATATTTACAGTACACTCTATTTATAACTTAGTTCAAAAAGACGATAGTTGTGCTCAGTGGTGTTTGTGTTAATGTGAAGTATCTGTAAAGTTCTGTCTTAATATAGCACATTGTTATAAAATTTATATAATTCATGATTACTGCACAGGGGATCCTCGAGTTACGAACACCCGCCGATACGAATGAAGCCCCATAAGATCAATTATTTTAAGAATCCGACAAAGGTACAACCTTTTTTTTTTTACGGGGAATAGCCCACCCGGGCACAGGTCATTGACCCACAACGGGGCCTGTTTCATAGTATTAATGTACGAGAACTAGTTTGCATGGCATAGCGGAGCGGTGGGTGGGGAGTACTGCGTTACTCAGCCACATGCCTTGAGGGAGCAACAGTACGCTCTATCCTCACCTTAGCAATGTGTGTGATCAAGTGCAAACTGTTGTTTTCTGCTTATTAACTCTATTTTTCTGCCCTCCTCATGGCTCTCAAATGGGAGTGATTGTAGTGCATCCAAGAAAAGGAAAACAATTACAATGGAAGTGAAAATGTTCTGAAAAAGGGAAACACCTTCAGTTATTGGTAAAGTGCTGAGCTTCAGTTGGTCAACGATCGAACAATTTTGAAAGACAAACAGAAAATTCTTGAATATGTAAAAGTATATACACCAATGCACTCAACTCTGATAACAAAACAAAGAAGTGGATTGTTAGTTGAAATGGAAAGATGATTAGTGATATGGGTGAAAGATCAGCCAGCCCAAGGTTTCAATGTAAGCGCTAAACTTTAATTTTTGCTTTCCTTTACCGTAATTTGTCAATCAATTTATTTATTTCTCTTAAATTAAGTGATTCAAGATGTATAAAAGGACTTGGGCTATGATATAGTGCACATAGGGTATGTTTTCCGACTTAAGAATGTCCTCAGGAATGGAACCTGTTTGTAACCTGGGGACCTCCTGTATATGATAGTTACATATGATTTATATGCCTGAAACTGCTTGTGTGTGTATATATATATATATATATATATATATATATATATATATATATATATATATATATATATATATATATATATATATATATATATATATATATATATATATATATATATATATATATACAGTAGTACCCTGATTTACGCGGTCAATTGAACCCACAGGGTACCGCGGAAAGTGAAAACCGCGTAAAGTGAACAACAGAACATATGGGATTAATTCCAATAGAGACTGGCCCGACCCCCAAACTCCACTTTTTCCGACACAATACCTATGTTGTAGTAAAAATAACATCTAAATTTTATGATGGTATGCTCACACAATTAATATTTAAGAGAAATACAGTCGCCAGGTTAATGTCCATTCAAATAATGGACTCAAATCCCCCCCCCCCTCTTCCCAGCTCACTAGCTCCTACCTCTCTGATTAATGTTTGGGTGAAAACTCTAGATTTTAACGTTTAGTAATAAATAATACCTCAGACTAAAGTTAGGATAATATAATTGACATTTCTGGATTCCTTGCAGGTCAGGGAATATTTTGAATGTAAACTTCATATATTTTGCACAAAAGATAAAATATTTGCTTTGTGTAAACCAAATTATTACATTAGATCTAAAATTTGTATGTCTAATGCAAAATCCATGATGTTTATATTCAAAATGATCATCATATTGTAAGAATTCCAGCAATGTAAATTATATTCTGGTCAAGTAATTTGTATGAATTTTATGAGCTAAAACAAATATCTTCAGTTAATAAAAAAAAAAATATTCTTCACGACACTATCTGTCAATCAAAGTACCCCACCTTGCCTCCCCCCCTCCTCACACTCACGCCAGCTGGGTCTGTCGGTCCCAACCCTCCCCCCCCCACCTTCCCTTCCTACCAGATAAATGTGTGGGTGAAAACTCTAGATTTTAACGTTTAGTAATATAAATAATACCTCAGACTAAAGTTAGGATAATATAATTGACTTTTCTGGATTCCTTGCAGGCCAGGGAATATTTTGAATGTAAACTTCATATATTTTGCACAAAAGATAAAATATTTGCTTTGTGTAAACCAAATTATTACTTTAGATCTAAAATTTGTATGTCTAATGCAAAATCCATGATGCTTATATTCAAAATGATCATCATATTGTAAGAATTCCAGCAATGTAAATTATATTCTGGCCGGGTAATTTATATGAATTTTACGAGCTAAATAAAAAAACAAAATAAAATTATACTTCACCTCGTGAATGAGTAGATGCACCGCGGAAAGTGAAAGTCTGGTTCTGGCAAGGTACCGCGTAAATGAGAAATCGCGGAAAGTGAAACCGTGTAAAGCGGGGTAATACTATATATATATATATATATGGAGTAAAAATCCTCGCTAAGTTACGTAATCTGTACCTGTAGTCACTTTTACTCACTTATCGCTTTATTAGAATACAGTAAATACTTATATTTTGCATAGATAGTTTTACTTCCATACAACTTATATAGTTTGTGTATTAAAATAGATATACAGGATACTGTACTATAGATGTCTGTCTTGTGTACATTAGTTTTTTCTTCACTGTAGTTTTTGTACGTATATAACTGCCAGATATACAGTATAGTCTCGATTTACGCCGTCAATTAAGCCCGTGGAGGTCTGCATAAAACGAGAAACGCGTAAACGAAATAACATATGGGATTAATTGAAATAGAGACTGGGCCGATCCCCAGACTACCCTTTTTCCGACACAATACGTACGTTGTAGTAAAAATAACGTCTTAATTTTATGATGGCATGCACACACAATTAATATTTAAGAGAAATATCAATAATATTAGGTTTTTTAACACTTACGTTAGTAGAAGAGATGGCTGGGCATACGGGGCATATTATTGGCCCTCACCTGTATCACTTGTATCACCTGTATCACTATCCACCACAGAGGCTTGCATGACCTCTTTGTCAAACCCCTCAAAGTCCATATCCTCACTATCACTGACTTAGGCTGGCTGTGGTGGGTGGCGGGTGAAGAACTCGGTAATGTTTTGTTGACTGGGCGACCTAGTGCGCACCCTGTTCGAGCCGCTTCCAGCTTAAATGATGGAATGTACCGCGTAACTAATAATTGCCGGTCTGGCCAGGTGCCGCTTAAAGGAAATCCGCGTAAATCGAGACTATACTTGTATTGTATAGTTAATTTTGGCATCATTCTGTATATTATACTGAATAGATAAATTGCCCTTTGATACTGATTGTGAATAGATTTTAACTTTATTTATACAGTACTGGTACTAGACAAGTTTTTAGTCAACTTAATAGATTTAGTCTTATTTCATTGTACAGTGTACTCAACTTAATAGATTAACGGTAGGCTGTTGTGTTGTACTAGTTTAATAGATTTTGTCTATTGTTTTTTGTCAACTTAGTATATTTACCGCACAGTTAATCTATTTCATTTTAGTCAATTTAATAGATTTTCTGTCTACAGTAATATCTCCGTTAGCCAGAATCCCTCTTAACCAGAACTCTCCGATATAGTCAGAGATGAAGTTTTCTCATAAAATCGTTCCCAAAGTCGGAATTTTCCAGAAAATTACGGCTTTTAGAACGATTTTCCGAGGGACACATTTTCTGGAAAATTCCAAGAAAATTTTTGCGGTATCCGGAAAATTCCTAGAAAGAATTACCGGTACCTGGAAAATTCTGCCGATGAGGGATTTTTTCCGGCTTCGAGAAAGTCGTCTCGTTACCCGGAAGTCGCTCATTTCCTGAAGTGTTCTGCACCAATTGTTCCAGCTAATGGAGATATCACTGAATATTTCATTTTAGTCAACCTAGAATATTTTTATTTATAGACACTTAGCATACAATATTTTCAATCTATTTCATGTACAGTACTGACAGTTTTGTGTGCACATGTCCTGGGAATAACTTACCAGTTTTTAAGAAAGTCCTGTACAGTACTGTACAGTATAGATATTTATGATTGTCTATGCTGTAAAGATGATTTGCTGGCTATAGACCTCTTCTTTGTAGATAGTTGCATATTTTTACATTTTATTTACATTGTTTTAAGATCCATTTTACCCATAAAATACCATGGGAAGTATGAAGTGACTGTATTTATGTAGGCAGCTTTGTCTATAGCCTTGATGCTTATACTGTACTGTATTTAGAATTTTTTTAATTGAAATTGTTAGACTGTTCCTATGAATAAATGGCTGATCATTCCACTATAGTTATGATAATGTAAGTCCTACTGTGCAGTACAGTACTGTACAGAGGTTCATTGGATCACCTGAATATTAAACACCCTAGCTTATTTCACCTGAAGATTTGACACTCTAGCTTATTTCACCTGAAGATTAACTTCCCTAATGCTAACCTAATCTAACTTAACTTACTGTAATGTAACCCGCTTCCCCCGGGTAGCATTAGGTTGGTTAATCATCAGGTGAAATAAGCTGGGGTGTCGTATCTTCATGTGATCCATTTCTTTTTGTTCTGATAAACTGTTTTACAGTTTGGAAAATGTTTGAGTGCAATTTGATTTTATTCACTATATTTATTGTTGAATCTGCATAAGTTAGTTGATGGATATGAAGTCCATACAGAACAGTATACAGTACTGTATGTTGGCCTCTTTGTTTAGGATTTCTGGATCTCCTGAAGATTAACCTCCCAGCTTATATCTTCTGCTAACCTAACTCCCTCGTGTAGCATAAGGGTGTTTTATCGTCAGCTGAAATAAATGAGGCTAATCTTTGGGTGAAACAATTAGGGTGGGGTGGGGGGTTAATCTTCAAGTGAAGTAAATAG